GTCTGTCTGTCTGTCTGTCTGACTCTTTCACTCACACACACAGACACATATACTGTGGTCACCTTTAATCACAGGTTAAAAGTACCTGGTAGTGGCGTTTTTCCCTGGGGGAATCTCCGAGGGTGTGCACATGCCACGGGCCTATGTTCTCAACGGCGTGGAGCCACAACGAGGCTCTGCGCAGCTGGGGATGACTCCAGAGCCCATCCGGGAAGATGAGGAATGCGAGGGGGACCCCTCCCCCCACGGATGGGCTCCAGACCCCACACATCTTTCACAGCCGCCTCGTTTCCAATTGGGGGGATCGATGCTGAGGATTTCTCCCCCCCCCCAATTGGAAACGAGGTTGCTGTGAAAGACAAGGCAGCGCTTTGTCAGAGTGAGAACACTTTCCCGCCATTATGAAGTCTCCGAGGCTGCAATTGTACATGGTATGTGCGCGCACCTATGTTTTCTACGGCGTAGAGCCGCGGCGATGCTCTGTGCGGCTGGTGATTACTCTGGAGCCCATCCACGGGGGGTTTCGAGGAACGCGAGGTGGAGTTTAAAGTTTAAAGTTCCGATGGTCTTAGCGACCCGTGAAGAGGTTGTTCAACCCCCCAAAGGAGTCTCAACCCACAGATTGAGAACCACTGTTCTAGAACATCTGAAGCACTATGCTAAGGAAGACCCCATATTTGGTCCTCAGATAGTTTCCATCATCCCCAATCAGCATAGCTAATGATCACTGTAGTTGCAGTCTATATGGTACTTCAGACTGATGTTTTAAATACAATCATAGCGACATAATTTACCTACTAAGCATTAAGCAAAAATGGATAGGTTTAAAATTGTAAATTATTGGTACTATACAACTGTAAGAAAGTGATAGCCTGAGAAACTTTAATATCTTCTATTTACAGAAAATAATTGTTAGGTTCAAGCATTCAGATTTCCCTCATTTTATAAACTGGGAACATCCTCAAAAAGAAATTCTACTTGTTTGATTTGGTTAACAATCAATTTTTAATACCCACACTACCTCTGTCTGGTTACCAGAAATTTTAGGCAGATTAGACTGAAACTTTCAGTTTAATATTTAAAATTAATATACAATGAAGCTATAAATAACTAAATAAGATTTTCAAGTTGATTAATTCCATAGCAAGACAAAATCTAACTTACAAGGTTGCCAGTTCCTTTGCAGTGCTTCATCATAGAACTGACGCAACACCAGGAAGTCAATAACATCTGGCATATCATGGTATCTAGAAAGATTAAACTTTAGTCAAATGCGCAATGACTGTGGAAACATTCTTAAAAATAATATAAGGAAAAAGATACATACTTGAGAGAAAATGATTTGTCTTGAAGCTGCCCAGTAACATGATCCATGAGGTTAAGTTTAAGACAGCATAGTGTAGGAGGTCCAACTTCATAACGTATCCCAACAATTTTTACCAATTCTTGATCCTAACAAATGCACAAACATTTTTGTTAGTATTAATACAACAATTAGCTAAATTATTTATAGTTCTTTATCTGATAAGATAGCCTATCGCTGTGTTGGCGAACCTATGGCATGCGTGCCACAGGTAGAACACAGAGCCATATCTGCGGGCACGCAAGCCATCAGCTCCAGTGCGCTTCAGGAAAGCCTCTGGAGCCTGGGGATGGCAAAAAACGGAACTTCCTACCGGAAGTTTGTTGTGCACGCATGTGGGGCACACTTTGCATTATGGATGCTGGCACATACAAACGCTATTGTGTGTATATGCTCACTTTTTGGCACCCACCAACAAAAAGGTTAGCCATCACTGGCCTATGGCAATCCAAATCACACTGAATGACCTATCAGTATGCCTGCGGAGAAAATGCTGAAGAATGCTAGTTGAAGTTTAACAACATTTGAATACCATATGTTCTATGTGAAAACATGTAAATGACACGATAAATTGGGTAAAAATGAGCAACAACAAAATACTGCACAAATACTGCAAAGAATGAATGCCATTACAAGGCATTCACCAATTTGGTAAGAGACTAGGCATGTTAATGGCACAGGTTGTTTCTCTTTAAGTCTTGAATTTTGAATGACTCTGTATATGAAGTTGGGCAGGCACTATATATTCCAGCCAGATCCCAGCTTTATTGCTTTTTAAGTCATACATGAGATATCTACAAACTTAGAAAAACACCATGAGTGAGAGTAAAATTGGTATGGATCAACTTTTGGTGATTCCGTGGATAAATGAAAACCATGCCAACTTCTTGGTATTAATAACTCATAGCTCTTCCAAAAATATTTCAGTAATCACTTTGATCTCATCTATCCACTTTTATTTGTTGTCTTTCTCTACTTTCTTTTTCCTCAATCTTGTCAAGCATAGATGTTGTTTTTCTAATCCATCTTCTACTTTTATCATATATGCAGAGCACAACTGCTTGGTGACTATAACCTCAACAGAGTTAGCTTTTATTTGGTCCAGGTCTCATTGACTGATTTTCCCCCCTCAATCTATCGTACTCTTCATAACTCTTTTGTAATTCAAATGTTTTTCCCTCTTGTTCTTTCCTGATATCCAGCTTTCATAACAAGGTATTACCAATGAAAAGATAACTATTTAACTATTCTGATCTTTATTGTCACAGAATTGTCCTTATGCATCTAATCTGGAAGGCTAGCAACTAGCAAAGAAAGGAAAACTAGTATTTTTTCTTGCTAGTGGTACCCTTCTCTCTCCCAGCATTAGCTGCGATAGACTGTTAATGTTGGGGGAGGAAAGGCTAGTGACTAACAAGGAAAGGAAAACCAAGACCTTTGCCAGCACCTAGGAAAAAGAAAGTTGCTTGTGGAATTCTGCCATGTGGTCCAGCAATGGAATGGCCTTGCCTCCTTCCATACCCCAACCTTCTGAGCTCTCCAGTTCTTCAAAAGTTAAGTGCTCGGTGAAGGGAGGTTAGAGGGAAGCATGTTGAATCCAGTGAGCTGGCCAAGCAGGGTCACTGTGTGTGGAAACCCAATGAGGCGGGGAAAACAGAAAGGGCATTCTGAGGATTGTTGCAGAGACACAGGGATGCTGCAACAGCTTTAACTTTGGGAGGTTTGTCGTAATTTTAAACCATCACTAAGTAACCCGTCATAAGGATTATCTGTAGTAATTTTTACATAGCCATAATTATTAGATTTTACTATTTTCTTTCTAGTTTATTCTATTCAGATCATATATCCCTATTTTTTAACATATTCTTTTGCTTTGTTCTTCTTCTATACTTCTATTAAAGAAAGGTTTTTTTTAAAAGACACATTTAATAAAAACAACCAGTAGTAAGCTAGTCTTACCCTAAGCTCCATTTTTCTCCAAGGTTCTTTCTGTGGATTCAACTCATAAATATTGTTCTTTCTTACTGCTTCAATATAAGCTTCATGGCCTTGTCGAAAATATATTACCTAATGTAAAGAGGAATGTAAATCGAAGAATGAAAGACAACCATACATTTAGTTTAACTAAAACATTAGGACAAATTCTGAATAACCACAATCCTAACACTTTTTATTTGACGTGAGATCGGGATCCTGCAATAGATAATTTTCCATTATTGTCCAGGGAGAGATGTTATATGTCCTTTGTCTGTTGTTTGAACCTTTGAACTTAAACCAGAGAAACCCATTACAACAAAGAAAAATAAAGAGAGGAATCTATCACAAACCCAAGTGGATTTTTTTTAAAGGTTCTTGGCAATCACTGATTAGCAGTGGGGTTTGGATTATTGTGTCACAACAAAGGATAATAAATTTTCATAATAAATTTAAACATTTAATTCTCAGTTTGATGTGAGACCAATACACAAACCGATTCTATGGGGAAAGTAGCTGACTCTACTGAGAAAGACCATGCTATAGCTTTCTTCTCTAAAATGCTACTTTTGCAATAGAAATGAAATGCTATCCACTTTGTAGCATTCAGTCAAAATATTTAGTATAGTATAATCCATGTAGCAATCTTGCATCAGAAAGCAGAGAATATGCATGCCATCATTGTAGAATGAATTGTCACAGAAACTTTGGATATCTATCATGATGATTACTTCTCATTTGCTATGAAGGCACCCAGAAAATAACCTATGGTCCAGAACCTATCTGCATCCTATCTAAGTCTTTGATTTCTCAATCCTTCCATGGCAAAATTTTAACCAATACAACTATGAAGTAGTCCATAAATCAAAATGAGATAAGCATTAACATATATTATTTCCTTAAAAATCTGTGCAATCACTGCTCAAGCCTTGTGATACAATTTTCCTTCCCAAACATTTCTAGGATGGGAGTGCATCTTTCATACAAACAGGTCATTTTCAAACCAAGTTTTCAATGTTTCTTTCTCAGTTTAATAATAAAGCACTCAATAGATTATGCTAATTATAGGTTGCCTTAACAATTTCAGTAATTCTTTTCATTTGATATCTAAGAACCACTCTGCCCCACCACCATTTTTGAGCCAAATTTAAGGAAAGGCTACATGTGGCAGGGCTCAACTGCCAAAGGCAGCCCTATAAGAAGAACATTCGCCCATCTTAAAATGTTTGATAAAGGGGAAGATGACTAAATGGTTAACATATAAATTTTTGAAAATAGTCAAAAAAGTGCTGAAAACTGAGGTTGCTCTCATTATAATGAGAAACAAAGTCCACTGGTTTGGGAGCTTCTAATGCTCATAAACCTAAAATATGCAGCCTATATAGAAACATGCTTGACCTTTTAGATTCCAGGGAGGCTGGATGAAGAGAGACAAAAAGTTACTCATTTTGTAAATAGTCTGAACTTTTCTCAATTGTTGTAAGGATTGAGGATAATTAATCCATCCACTTGCCAAAAGAAGCGTGCTTGTTTTGAATCTAAACCCCAAGCAAACCTATGCTGTAGGAAGGAAAGTATATGTTTTCCATCTTTGATGTAAACTATGTACTCTGAACAACTGGGAAAAATATTCTTCCAAATTACTTCATAAAATCAATCTAAACCTTATTTCTTGGAAAAAGAGAATGCTGAAAAGACAAAAATCCTTCTAGTATTCCAATGTTAGGCAATTAAGAGTGATAGAATGGGTTTTGTGAGATTAAATGCACCTGATTTGAAATTGTATTTTGCAGCTTTCAACTTGCTGTTTAGTTTGGATGAAAGAGTTGGTGTTGCTGAGAAATAAAGAGTTGGAAGTACACGATCTTAAGATTTTGGGTGGGATGGTATTTATAGTACAACAAAGTCAAAGTTAATGTAGATTTTAAACATCATGATGTTAGAGATGTCATATTAAGAATATGAAATAGATACAATCACAGGTTGTACCTGGAAACACTTTTGTGGCTTTCAGTATTTCATAGACAAATTGCAAACACAATGAGTAATAATCATGAGATACTAGAACTTTGCTAAGAGGAATGTAAAATAAAATCAAGAGAATTGCTGTCAGAGGGATACAATTGCCAATGGTTTTCTTATTTATTTACCAGAAAAAATTAAAGTAGACAAAATAATTTATGGTTTGAACACTGTTAAGTTCGGGGAAGGGAGGGGCTGACATCATAGTGATACGACACATCTCCATGCGGCTCGGTAGAATTATACCAAATTTGACTTTCCAGGAAGCTCCGAGGGACCCAAGTCAAAATGTGTCACAAATACCATTGACTGGTGCTAATGGTTGATATGGGTTGCTGCCAACATCCTTTAAGAAGTATCTTTTTAAAATATATATTCCTAATAGCACAGTTTTTTGGAGTTCTGCTGGTGTTATTGCAGGAAGCTGCAATTTCTTGATGTGTTTTGTAAAATTCTTGGACATGGTACCAAGCGCCCCAATGACAATGGGTATCATTGTTAAATGTTTCATCCATAGCCGTGTACTTTCAATGGTCAGGTCACGATAGTTTGTGATTTTCTTTTTCTTCAACTCTGGCGTCTCCTGGTACAGTGATATCAATAAACTACGCTTCAGCCCTCGACAACCGTGATATCTGGCGTATTGTGTTCCAAATGATGATCTGTCTGTATTTGAAAGTCCCACAAGACCTTCACCTTCTCATTTTCAGTAACTTTTCCACTTTGTGCTCCCATGACATTTTGGATACAGGTAAGTCGTATTTCTTACATAATGACCAGTGGATTAATTTAGCAATTCATTCATGTCTAGCTTTGTAATCAGTTTGTTGCTGCATTCACATATTAACTGTGAAACAGTTTCGACTTTGTCATTGCAAAGCCTGCACTTTGAATTGTCAGTGGATTTTTGTATCTTTGCTTTCCTTGCATTAGTTTGTAGTGCTTGTTCTTGAGCAGCCAGTATTAAATCTTCCATTTCTTTCTTGATGGTTCCCATCTCAACCC